CCATTCCTCTTTGTTCCAGAGCTCATTGTGTGTCTAATACAGGTTTAATTTTCACTCTCTCATTAGGAATATAAATAAATGGCACATGAAAAGGGTCTCAAAGATTTTAATTACCAAACAGACAAATTTTGTTAATCAAGTGGTATTTGTCAGTTTCATTCTGATTGTGAGTTCAATCAATCACAGGCTTTCAGTGCATCCTTGCTTTGGATAAGTAGGAGGGTGAGGAAAGAAGGAAAATTACTGTTTCCATTCAATTGATTTTTCAACACACTAACAGCCATTAAAAATAAGACAAATTGGCACTACTCTGGCCAGAGTGGTGTAGTGACATTAGTGCAAATGACAACTGAGGCCCAAATGAATATACCAGCTTCAATTACCTGTATCATGGTTTGTTGCTTGTTCATACATATTAAATATAGCAGTGTTTTATCCAACAAGCCAGTTACAACCCCTCCCTCCCACTTTCAGATCATAAAGCATCACAACATGACTTTTATATCTTTGTAATACTCCCTTTGCAGCCACATCCTGAGGAATTATGGAGTGTTCTAAGGTGGATGATCATCTCCAATCCAGCATGCAATTACCTTACAGTCAAAGACCATCAGGTAAGATCCTCATAACCAGGATGGAGAGCGTTTAACAAAGGTGTGCATGCCTCGAAAACATTCCAACACCTGCCTCTACAGCAAGGGAAACACCTGTTAACACCAACCTCCCACAGGCAGGAGATGCTGGTGATGGTTCTGCTGCCTGCCAGCCTCTCTTACTCAGAGTGCTAAAGGCTACACACTCCCTGCTGGGGGGAGCTGACTAAGATTTTCTCACTGGAGATGTACAGCAGCATCTACAGCCTGTTGCCTCTGAGCAGACCCCCTTGGGACAAAGCTTTTGGTGGAAGGAGAGGCCTGGTGCTAGGGTAGGGGATAGCCACTTCCTCTTCCCTCAAATGTGGTGGAGTGGGTTCATCCCACAGTGTCATCTCAGCACTCAAATGCCTTCCATGAGACTCTCCCTTCAGTGGGATGTCATTTCCCCAGGGAATCATGGGAAAGTTTAAACATGCGCTAACGGTACGTATTAACCCAGTTTCCCCTGGTGGCAATACTGATGTAAGCCATAGCATGGAGAATGTGGATTCCAGTGCTCTCTCTCTCTTTGGTAGAGTATAGGGAAAAGGTGGTAAAATGCCAGGAATAGGTAGTTGAGGTAGGAGCTCAGGCTACTGGAGAGGAAGAGTGTAGCTGTCGAGTACCTGGGGTAAGGACACGCAGTCTCACTTGCATACATTTTACATTTAAGACCAAAGAAAGCTCTATACAAATGAAAGCCTAGGTCTCCGCAGTCATTCAGTATCCATTATATTATTACTTATTATTTATTATTTCTACTGCAGTCACGGCTAGTATTACCCAATCAGGGTGCGAGACACTGCCCATGAACAGAGAGAGAGAGACGCCCTGCCCTGAAGAACTTACAATCTGAAGCCCCAACTCTACAATCACAAACTCTGCATGGACTCAGGTCTCCAATCATATTGATCTAATTGCAGGATCAGGACCTTCTGTTGGAGACCAATGGATCACTACCGTTTCTCATTTGCCAATGAATACGTCCCCAAATATGCTTTTCCCCAAACGCTCCTGTGTCCTAAATCTCACTACAATTTTCAGATAAATCTCATTTGAAGTTTCTCAAATGATTGACAGCTCAGCTATTTTTCATATGTGGTACACACAAAAAAAGCCACAAAAATTTTTTTAAAAAATTTAACCCCTCCCCCCCTTCCCTGAGTTTCATCTCAACAAAATACCATGTACGAATGAGCTCAAATCTGGGCGAAATAAATTTATCCAGTAGCCGCGGGACGGGCAAACTTTGATGGAAAAAAGTGACCTTTCTAAAGACTTTTTGGGTTTGGGGGCAATATTAAGTTTCTCCTGACTTGGTTTTACCAGGCGTGGCAACTCTTTCTAATAGCTTAATTTATTAAACTTGTTCAAACTACTTTGATGTTATGCCCCACTCACCCCTCCAGCACACTATTTTCTGACAGAGTGAGTTTTATTAGTTTATCTGGTGCACCATTCTCCAAAGCAAACGCTCCATTCTCAGCTTCAGTCCAATCTTAGTTGCACATTGGAGTTTAGCGATAATAGTATCAGGGAAGTGAACAGTCATCACTTGGCTTCACCCCATGTCAAATTCTCTAAAGCTCTCATTTAGATTTCAGTAAGTGGGAGATAAGTATGTATTTCACCTTCACTACCATATTGGATATATGCATTAGTGAGGACAAATTGCACAAAGTTCAGTTTTGTCTAAGGTTCTCTTTAGACATAACCATTAGCAGCACCAGGCTGCAAAATAATAAGATAAAATGTGTACTTAAGACATCGTCAGAGAGACTGAACAAAGAAAACACCTGGAAGGCCCTATCCAGCAAGAGAGGGGGAAAAAAACCTCTTACCCTAACTTCTACACAACCTCCATCTCCTTTAAACAGTGTAAGAATGGAAAGGTCAAGTTGGGTTAGGAACAGTGTCTTCAGAAACAAAGTTGCTTAAAGTGGCTCTTCCAACTGAAAGCAAGTACTGTGTAAATTGCAATTTACATTTTATCAGGGAATCAAGCTTTTATTCCTTTAAAAGTGTCGGCTGAAAAGCGTGTTGAACTTTCACAACGTAGGAGCACACAGCACAGGCTCCATGCACAAAAACACGGGCCATTTGGAAGTGTTCTTGTTTTGTGCAAACTAGACCAGTTAAAAAATGTGTTCCTGATGTAGCTTTGCAACATCAGTTTTGATCATACCATGTGAGGCCAATTTGACAGCAATGTTAATTAGATCTAACGGCAACAGTGCCATTAGCTCAGAAGAAAAGAAAACTTTCTTTTATGAAAACCAGCCCTCGAAATGCCTGAATAAATTTCAGAACTCTTACAACAGTTACTATGGAGTCACTATGGGAACAAGCAATGAATTAAGCTGAAGTGCTAATCTCAGCAAAATACCAAAAGAATGCTGTAGAGTTACTTAGCTGTTTTCTCATTAGACGGGCTATTGCTCAATCACAAGATTTCAGCTTACTCCTCCAAGTACCCAAATGAAGCCTTTCCTTGCTAAAAATATACATTTAAAAGCAGCCTTGTTAACAATTAAAGGATAAACTGGTTATCAAAACATAATGGAAGCAGGGAGTATAGCAGGAATGTGGGTTTTCTGTGTGCCATACCCATGACGGATGAGAGCAGGGAGGGGAGTATTAGCATTATACAACATATTGTTCTGAACTGAAGTTTAAAATTTGGACTGAAGTCTGTAGCCTAAAACTTAAAAAAGCATAGATTTGTGGAGTTCTCTGACCACTTGCAACAGCATACCAGGGGGTGCAGAACGGTCTGTATGAAAGTCAGTGGTTTTCACTCTTCACCATTGCACATCAAATACTCAAATTCTAACCATTCTGAATTCAAGCCTCAGAGAGATCATCCTTTTTTTAAAAAAAAAAAAAAAAACACAAAACAAGAGTCCAGAGAAAGCCTTTGCCATAATCTGTCAGACAGATGTTTAGCTTTGTAAATAAAATAAAGTTACATGAACTTGGAAAACAATTACATATATTTCATAAGCCTAATCGAATACTTACTCTGGGGCTGGTACATATAATGCACTGGAAGTAGCTAAGTAAAAGAAGCAAGTGCTTTCAAACTGCTGCATGATGACACAATGCTTGTTCCACACAGAAGCTTGTGGATTCTGCTGTACTCAATATCAACTAGAGCTTAATACGATACAACTGGGTGCAAATTAAACCTTTAACCCCATCAGTGTAAGTTTGTATCCAGACATTTTAGAAAGTCAGAAATCAGTTAGAAGGAAGTTCAAACTTGCTTTCAAGTTTGCAAAAATTGATGGGAAGAGCTCTAACATCTGAAAGTGCCACAACTCCTCTCCACAAAACAAGCACAGCAGCAGAAACAGTGTAGCTTCCTTCCCACAGCCATTACAACATGCCCCAGTGCTGAAGATCACTTCTTTGGACAAAAGTCGTTTCAGCCTCTAAACACACTTGGTTGGTGTCTTTGAAGAAAGGCCAGAGATCAAGAGCATCACCTTAAAATTATCCAAATCAAACTAATTTAGTGATCAGGGCTAGAATGCTGATGAACATGTGCAATAGGGCAAGAGCATCCTTCTACAAATTGCTTGAAATATCATGTAGTGATTAACTCCATTTTTAAAAAAAACTGTCAAAACAGGGTTTGTGACGAGCTTAGCCAGATAACAAACTGAAGAAAGATCAAACTAAACAGCCAATTTTCCAATTTTAAGCTAGCTGGGTAAACTTCTCTTAACGGCGTACCAGATATACAGAGGTCATGGATGTCTAAGTGCACTGCACTGCACATTGCACTCTCTCAATTTTTAGTTGATCTGGAATGATGTATTTTACTTCCTCCCCCAACAATTAAGAATTATGAAGGATGATCTTGAAATTAAACAAGAAATACAATACTTTATAACACACAGAAGAACAGAGTCACTTTGGCTACCTCTACACTTGGGGCTGGGAGTATGATTCCAGTTCACATAGACATACTCGCATTAGCTCTCACTGAGCTAGCGTGCCAAAATAGTAGCTGTATTTACAGTATTTAAATACTGTACACGGTAGCACAAGCAGTGGCGGCAGGGACTATCGACCCTGAATATGTACCCACAGGGCCCCAGCAGGTTTGCACAGAGGGCAATTCGCAGCTGCCCATGCTACCACGGCTACACTATTATTTTTAGCTCATTAACTCAATGGGAGCCCCTGGCTCCAAGCACAGACATTGCCTTTCATGAAGGGAATGTAAAAAATGTCAGGGAAAATATACAGATTTTTGATTGTACTCAAAGTAAAGACACAGCATTAAGAAAGCAATTCGGGGAATTTACAGCTAGCACCACAAAACCACCTATTCACAATGTCGTATTTTTACAGTATAACATTTTTGGCTTTGCCTGAATAAGTTCATGTCTAGATTTTCCCCAGGGTAAAAATAAATGTTTTTAATGTATCAATTTTTTCCTGAGAAGCCATCAGATAGAAAGAACTTAAAAGGGCTATGACCTTTCCTCCACAATTTCTGTGAGAGAGAAATACTGTAAATTGCACACATCTAGGACATTAACAGATAAATGCTTTCCACCTGATTACTTCAGATTTTCAGGGAAGGCAAAGGTTGAAAGGCATGAGATTCTAATCTGATTTCCTATGAAGTTCTATATTACCATTTATAGCACTTATCTGTTGAACTATGTACTATACGAAGGTGTGGAATGATTAGCTAATTCATTACTAGGGAAATATACCTGACCATTATGGTAAAAACAGTTTAAGTGTGTATTTTGTAAGGATGTTTTAGGTTCAAACTTTCATATAGGAACACACAGTATTTCTTATGCTGAATGTCGTGGTTGTGAGAAAGTGCATAACAAGTCCACAAAAGCAGAATTAATAAAATAACCTTTCAGCTTACAAGACTCCATCTCTGAATATTTGCTTCACAGAACTAACCACAAGGGGAAAAAATGCAACAGCACCAGTGTAATCCAGAGATGCCAGAAAAGGTTATTAAAATAGTATTTATTCTATGAACAAAAATTAAATGGAATTAGGTCATTATTTCACTTCTTGTTCCCTGTCCCCTTTGAACCATTCTGATCATCTTTTGTTCCAGTTGGGAAATTTCCATTGTTATTGTGGTGAACCTGCCACTCTTTTTCCAGCTGTTTCAGCATTTCTTGGCTAAGGAGTCCTTCACGCACTAGTCTGGCAGCAAGAGATTCTTGTCGGTGACTCTTCATATTCGACTGTACTTCAGCAGGTTTATAGCCCAAAGCTTTAGATCCCCTTATTCTCTTCTGTCCTAGTACCTTTGTGGCACTTGAGAATTGCTCTTGGTTTGCTGCTGGAAGATCTTCCAAGTTCAACATCCTGTCTTTAACTTCAGTTCTCTGAAGAGGAAAGTCATCTGGTACAGCTATAGCACCAGAAACAGAAGTAGCTTCTGAAGCTCTGATAAGCCTTGTAATGTTGCGCACACCAATTTGTATAATGTTGTCTAGTTCTTTCTGGATGTCCCGTACGAGGCTGGCATCTAGGAACATGTCCATAAATCGGTAACTGAAAGAAAAAAATGTTTTAAATTTGCCAATATAAGAACTGCTGTAGGTCAACAGAGTAAGTAGAGATCAAGCTGCTGTCTTACTATTTTGTGGTATATAAGTGACCACCTATCCGCTCCCACCCATATGCCTCTTCTTTGTGTATCATATTATACATTGCCTCATCATCAGAGAGGATCTTGACAGTACAACTGTTGCATCTGCTCAGGTTGTACAATCAGTAGGTTCTACAGAAATCTGTTTAACTGTCAATGTGGCATTCTCCCATATACTGCTAAATTCGCACCAACATAAAAACATGGCTTCCATTTGTCCATGAGCTGCAAATATACTAGGAGAAAACCAAAATAAAGCTTAAGTTTCAGTTTCAATACCTTAACCACAGATAGAGGTCAAAAACATCATGAACAGCTTCAAGGTGTACAAGATCCTTGATGTTCTTTGGTGGGACCAGTGGCCAGTTAGTATGCCTGCATAGCCAGTCAAATGTCAAAGGCTCATTTCTACTAAACTGCCTTGCAAACTGGAAAATAAACAGATTCAACAGGGTCTTGTATAAGTCTGTTAGCAAGAACTGAGTATTTTTACAACATATTAATTTATTAAACCATTTCAAATTTCCATCCCAAAGCCTCAGAAATAGACTGTATTAGTGTGAGTTACAAGTACAACAACTTTTATTTAACTATATCCTCTTTATCTGTGTTGACATATGTGTTTTTATATTGTAAAGATATAGTAGTATAATAATGGAAAATCATAATACTGGCAAATACAAAAAAAAAAGTTACTAACCTGCTCTGTAGCTGTTGTTCTTTGAGATATGTTGTACATGTCCACTGCACTTTAAGTGTGTGTGTGTAACCCACACACCTTCTGGGTGTGATGTTCTGTCCCATCTAGTGGCACTGAGACCACTTAAAGAGAAAGAGTTAAATGAGTCTGCTCTACAGCCTTAGCTAATAGCCAACTGGCTTTTAGCTCATGCGGTAGAGGCTCATGAACTAAGCTCCAGAGATCCCGGGTTCGATCCCGCCCGCCAATGACCGGGGTCTGTTGGTGTTACATGTGCACTAGCGTCAGAGATTTTTCCCTTGGTGGTACCCATTGGGGTGGCACATGCACCCTCTGCTGCCTTGTGGTGCTGAGCGATGACAAAAGGGTAGAGCTGCCCCCCAAACCCTCCCATTTCCTTCTTACTGGACAGATTCTGATATAGAAGGGAAGGAGGGTGGGTCATAGAATGAACATGTGTAACATTTCAAAGAACACCAGGTTAGTTTTTTCTTCAAGTGATTGCACTTGTCCATTCCACTTTAGGTGACTCTCAACCAATTCAATCTGCAGGTTAAACTCCTGAGGTGTTAACCATGGAGCATCCAAGCTGTAAGATGGGGAGCCTCAGGTTTGGGGTAAAGGAGACCATGGTCCTGTGAAATCAAATCTGGATCTGTTTTTTATGTCAATGGAGCCCATGTTGAAAGGGACAGTAGAGTGGAAAAGCAATGCTGGAGACCACACCAGTGCAACAAGGGTCACGTGAGCATGATCCTATCTGATTTTTTAACACAACTCTGGGAAAGAGTGGAACCAGAGGGTAAGCATACATGGAGGTTGTCTTTCCAAGACAACAGGAAAGCATCTGTCAGAAACCCTGGACTGTGCCCTGTTCTTGAACAAAACTGATGATACTTCCTGTTCTATCAGATTGCAAACAATTCTATGTGGAGAACCCCCCAGACAAAAAGACCACTCATGGTGACTGGTGAAAGATCTGCTCAGCTGATCTGCCAGACTGTTCTGGACATCTTGAAGGTCAGAGAGTTTGATGCGGATCAAGCTGGCAATACAAAACTCCCAAAACAGTATTGTCTCTTGGCATAGAAGTGTCAAGTTGGTCCCTATGTGTCTGTTCACTCAGAACATTGCTGCTGTGTTGTCCGTAAGAACTAGCAAAATCCTTCCCTTGATGTGGGGAGAATAGCGTAACAAGCTAGATGAATAGCTCTCAACTATCTTATATTTATGTGGAGAGCTAAATCCTCGACAGATCAGATACCTTGTGTCTGCAGAGTTCCCAGGTGGACTCCCCAACCTAAGGCAGAAGCATCTGTAACCAGAGTCAAAGTAGGTTGTAGGGGAACAAAAGGAACTCCCACCCATACATTGGTTGGTCCATCCATCAGTCCAAAGAGGCTAAGACTTCTTTGAGCACTTGAACTAACATGTCCATTGGATGACAAATTGGGAGATACACCAAGCTCAGTCAGCCCTGCACCTTCCTGAGCCTATAGCATGCCAAACCATGTAAATACAAGAGGCCATGTGCCCCAGAAGTGTGAGACAGTTCCATACTGTCATGGCAGAATGGGCTTTCAGATCTAACAAAATGCCAAACATTGTCTGGAATCTGCTTTGTGAGAGGAACACACTGGCTTCTGAAGAATCAAAGACTGCGCCTATAAATTCTATTCTCTGAACAGGCCAAAGGATTGACTTTTCCTTATTTATCAGCACCACCTCACTCTTCAGCCTCTCACCAGCTAGTCATCCAGATATGGAAACACTTGTACCCCTGATTTCCTCTGGAATGCAGCCACCATTGCCATGCCATGCTTTGTAAAGACAGGTGGGGCCACAGTCAGGCCAAATGGCAGGGACTGCAAGCTGATAGTGGATTGGTTGACCATAAATCTGAGGAATCTCCAGGGGCTTTGAAGTAGTAACACATTGAAATACACCCTTTAAGTCGAGGGCAGCGTATCAGTCACCAAGATCCAGATAGGGGATAACGGAAGCCAAAGTGACCATGTGAAAATTGATTTTCCTTATGTATTTCATCAGCTCTCACAGGTCTAGTATGGGCCTGGAGCCTCCTTTTTCCTTTGGAATCTGAAAGTAGCATGAATAAAATCCCTTTCCTCTGTGTAAAGGAGGAACTTCCTCTGACTCCCGACAGGAGGAGAGACTATACCTCCCAAAGGAGAACTTCCTCTTGAGAGAGGTCCCTGAAAAGGGATGGGGAATGGGGCTGGGGACGAGGGCTAGAAATAAACTGAAAGATAGATCCCAATTCCATCTTGTTTAAGGCCCACTAGTCTGTAGTGATATAGGTCCAAGCACTTAGGAAGTGGGATAGCCTGTTGGAAAAATAAACAGGGTTTGAGAATATAGCAAAATTCCTTGTATGCTGTGCTTCCCAAGATTGTCAAACTGACTGTTTGGTGTTCCCAGGCTGTCTGGACAAGCTCGCAGTGGATGAGAAAAAAGAGGTGGTGGTGGTGGTCTCCACCTGTAACTTTTCCCTTTTCTCCTAGTCTCGTCCTGATAAGGCATAAAGGAAGTATCCTGGTAGGACTGCTGCAGGTGAAACTGCTGCTTCTTTGGGAGAGGAGTGTAAATACCCAAAGGCTTCAGCATAGCCCTAGAGTCATTAAGGCTGTGAAACTTGTCATCTCCTTGCTGCGAAAAGAGCGTTGGTCCAGGGCCGCCCAGAGGGGGGGGCAAGTGGGGCAATTTGCCGAGAGTTTTTCGGGGCCCCTGGAGCAGGGTCCTTCACTCGCTCTGGGGGCCCCAGAAAACTCTCACGGGGCCCAGGCCCCCAGAGCTTCTTCCGCTCCGGGTCTTCGGCGGCAGGGGGTCCTTCCGCCCCGGGACCTGCCACCGAAGTGCTCTGAAGACTCGCGGCAGGGGTCCTTCCGCCCCGGGACACGCCGCCGAAGTGCCCTAAAGACCCGCGGAAGGGGGTCCTTCCGCCCCGGGACCCGCCGCCAAAGTGCTGGGTCTTTGGTGGCAATTCGGCGGCGGGGGAAGACCCCAACCCCCCTGAATCCTCTGGGCAGCCCCGCGTTGGTCCCTCCTGAGGAAGATCTGATGACTGGATCCATGAACATTTAATGCATTGTTATGGCTGATGCAATGGCTCTAGCAGTAGAATCTGAAGCATTCAATGCAACCTGAAGCAAGGCCCTGGCTACCTTGTCCACTATTGCAAAAAACTCTTGTCTGGCATCCTCTGGCAACTTGTCTGTAAATTTTAAAAATATGCCCCAGAGGGAGAAAAACAGTGCCCCAGCAATATTCACTGATTAGAAATCCGGAGGTGCAGGCCAGCTGTAGAATAAACTTTTCTCCTACAAAGAGTTTCTTTGCATCCTTTGATTTTGAGGTAGACTCCTACTGACCCTGGCGCAAGTTGACGCAATTCCTCCATTCAGTTCTTTTAGCAGTGGGAGGCAGGGAAGATGGTGTTTGTCACACTATTTTTGTGGGCTCCAAAATAGTCTCATTTATGAGAAATGCCACTTGAGAAGACCCCACAGATCCCAAAATATCAACCAATCTATGGGAGCTCTACTTCCACCTGTATGTCTGTGGTGAAAGCCACCCTCTTTAGGAGGTCCTGATGTAATTGTCAGCAGGATATGAGGAAACACTAACCATTGCTACCTCATCTGAGAGTGATGAGGAAGAACCTAAGGCTGGATGAGGTGGTGCTTCCGGAAATTTCTCTGAAGGGGGATTCACTGGGGCAGATTGCTCATGTTTGGGAGCTCCTTACTGGGAGAGACTTCTTGCAGTTCTTGACGTGAAGCTTCACAACGCCTATTGGAGGATGTAGAGGAGGATGAGCAAGGAGAGGATCTGGAGTTGGCAGAAACCCCCACAGGTTTCCATATGGCCGTTGACATGGCACCGGAGCCCCATTTCTCCCCTGCCAAGGCTCCCTACCAACCAACCAATGTGGAGCTTCTGCTGGACACCAGGGATGAAAACCCCTTGGAGTAGAGTGATGGCTTACGTAATGCAGCTGTGACACATAAGATCCAACTTCCAATTCAGAGAATGAACCTGTGTAGTTTGAGCAGGAAGGTGCGGTATCTCTCGGTGCCAGGGAGCAGTGCCCAGAGACTGGAAAGGATGGCACCAGAGAAATCATAGCCTGTTTGCCCTTTAACAGCACCATATGAGGCAGTATCAGAGTGTCAAGAGGTGCCTGTGGTATCAGGTGCTAAACTCTAGAGGCTGGCAAGTGCTCATTGGTGTCTGCCAGTACTGGGGGAAGTGTCAGTTGAACCTCCAGCAAAGCCAGCACTGACAGATTTAGCAGATTGCATGCCGCAGCATATGCCTCAGGTGCTGATGGCATCAGGAGAGTCTTTTGCTGCTGCTGAGCCAAATGGTACTTCCCTAGATGTTGGTCTCAATGACACTGGTACCAGTGCCGAGTCAATGACCATGCCTGAGCCTCCATATGCACCAGACAGCACCTCAGCACTGAGCATGTTCTATCTTGCTTCACAGCTTGACTGCTGAACATCAGTGCCAGGGACCTCAATCTCCTCAATGACATTTGCCAGTGTTGTTTCTTTCGTATCAGAGAAGTAGATCAGCATTGACACTCTGTCACGACAGGAGGAGCTCTCCCAACCAAAGTAAAGATGCTCAGTGCTCACTCCGAGCGGGAAGTTTCCAAGGGTGGGGAAAAGGCTGCCTCCACAAGATGCTTTAGTCTGACCTCCCCATCTGTTCAGTTCTGTGCTTAAAGTCCCTGCAGATTTGGCACCTGCCCCTGATGTGAGCTTCTCCAAAGCACTTTAGGCACATGGAAGTGTGGGTCACTGACAGCCTTGGCTTTCTGCATTCATGGCAAGGTTTGAAGCCTGGGGACCAAGACATGCCCCAGCACCAGGTATCTGTATGCAGAACCAGTGGGAACTGAAGCGTAAACTAAATATTCTAGTAAAAGAGAAAAACTATTAAAACACTATACTAAGACTATTAACAAGTACTAGCTATATACAATCGAAAACATTTAGAAGAGGAAACACTTGCAGTAACAAGGTAGCACACTCCAACAGCCATCACAAATGGAAGAAGGAACTTAGGGGGGCTGGGGCAGCTCTGCCCTTTATATCATCGCACAGGAGCGTGAGGAAGAAAAGGGCACATAAGCTGCCCTGACAGGTACCGCTGAGGGAAAAATCTCTGACACTAGTGCACTGGGCGTGCACATACCCAAAGTGGAATGGACAGGTACAATTGCTCGAAGAACTAACATTCTGTCTATGACAGAGCACTATGTCGAATGAAGTTTGACTAGCAAGGCAATACTACTTTTGTGATCTCATAATCTATTTATTAAGTTAAAAACAAGCATCTATTATTGGAGAATAAGGAACAGAAGTATCAGAACAACTAAGTGTGAGGGTTTCACAGCTACTGTATTTTAGTAAGTGATCTAAAGTTTGTCTGCACATATTTCAAACAACGTTTTACTTTATGCAGCTCAGAATTTTCTTCAACTACCACACATTTTTTACATAACTATTCAACCCAGGAGCCATCTCTCCCCTCCTGTGCCTCATTAAAACAATTTGTTATGGGCCATACACACAGCTAAGAAGCAAAGTATGGGGCTATCCAGAAAATGAGAGCAGAGTTTTATGGCTTGATGATCTCCTCCTAGCATGGTCAGCTGGGCTTTGCCCATTGTCTTAGATCTATCAGCAGCCAGCTCGTTTTGTTGAATCCTAACAATGCTTCTCTTATTTCAGATGATTTTTTCTAGGTTGAGAAAGTGATGTTGGATACTTATTCCCTGATGTAACAAGGACACTTTTTTTTTTTTTTTTTAATAAAGCTGAGATTAAAGTTTTTGTTGTTGTTTTTTTAAATAGAAATTAATCACTGACACTTGGGAATCTTAGCTGTTTTGCCAACAGACAACTCAATCACAAAAGTTATGGCCTAAAATTTCAAAAGTGATTAGTGATTTTGGGTGCCCAATTTCAGACACTGGGCAGGGGTCTGATTTTCAGAGGGTGAGAGCTAAGCATTTTCTGAAGATCAGGCCCTTTTTAGTAGCTTAAATGAGGCACTCCGAATTTGAGAAAAGTAAAATCACTAGCCAATTTGTAAACTATAGATCTGTATTTTCACACAAATAAGAGACTTCTCATTTCAATGATATACAGCAAAAATGTTTTTGTTTTTTACTCTGAAAAAGTGTTTTGTCCAAACAAAGTGAAACAAATGTGGCAACATTTGATATGAATTAACAGGAAGTCACTGAGCAAGGGCCTGATCCTGCAAAGCCCAACTTACATGAGTAGTTTCTACCGCCTTCAGTGGACTACTCACATGACTAAAGATTACTCAAATCAGGCTTTGCAGGACTACACTATGAAATTGATCATATATGGTCACATAATTTAGTTCTTAGTTATGTGAATTCACTTTTTTTTAAAGTCTTAATCATAAAATCAATGATTAATCTAGTTGAGCTTAAGTACTTCTATTTTATTCACAAAGTGGGTGCTGAGAAAAATGAGTTACTAATAATGGCACCAGCTGGTTGTAGGCAAGCTACTGCTAGAAGGTGCTGTGCAAAGCTTAATACCACACAACTCTAAATAAGTACATCATTCCTGACCTCTGCTAGTTCAGAAATTCCCACTGGGCAAGTTATGGGATTTTGTGATGTGAATAAAGGGAAAGTTTAGACAACTTTTTTTGTTTGTTTGTTTTAATTTACATCCTACAGTGGAAGCTGGGCTCCAAGAGTGAAAAGCTAATGCATTTACAAACCTTTATCTGAACAGTTAATAAAGGTTGTATTCTTTAGAAATTCACCAGCTAGTTTGTATTTCTACTTCCACGTGAGCTTTTTAAAATGCACTTGGAAACTGCCAATCTGCTTAAGACTGATCTAGTCAATTATAATTAACTGTATATTTGAAGAACTTACCTTTAGCAAAGAGGTGCAGACAAAAGGCTGTTTTTTGTTGATGGGTGCTGTGCAGAACACATACCTTACTCTTAAGTTTAGTGGAATGTGCTGAATCATATCTGCTAGAAATTTAAAGTCATCAACATTGCAGACAAAATAAAGCCCATCCACTTGTGAGAGGCTCACAAAGATATCCTGTTCAGAAAAAAATTAAAATACTGTTAATAGTTGAAGTTCAGGTTCAGATTATCAAAAATGATGGTTGTCAGCCTTTATACTGCCATGGTAACAACTGAATACTTGATGAGCTCTTTCAAAGTTTGGTTTTTTTTTAAGCTACCGTTCAAATGTAATCAATCATTTTTGTATAGGTTGTGTTTGTTCTCTCCCTGCACAATTTCCTTTAAAAATTACATCTGTAATGCAGATTCAGTAGCAGTACAGAGGGTATGCTACACTACTTAAAAAAAGTAAAACAACTTCTTCTTAAATATATAATATAGTAAGATAAGAGCATACATAATAAGCCACATAGTATGCTCTCATAAAATCAGTTATTTCTACATTAAACTGTTGTAAATTTGTGTCAGCAGCATAATACAAGATAGATTTCTTTTTATCTTGGTAGATAATTCAACCATTAAATTATTATAAGGTTGGCTTTAGGATTTTGAGATTACAGGAAAAAGTAGTGAGAAAACAGATCAACTAAAATCTTGCAGGAGTTGAGATCAAAGAGTATAAAGATAAATTCCTCCCCACTTGTGCTTGAAACATATTTCAGATTAAAAAAAAATAAAAAAAATCTAAAGTGTCCACAGCATTAGTTCTTACCAGTATGACATTATCAGTACAGATACATTCAACCACTGATCTCTGTGCCTGGCTGGATATGTATCATACAGCAAAATTTTAAATAAGGCATTTAATTAGACTTTGAAAGGAAAAAAAATTGTTTAAAGATTATTTGTATACTTGGATACTAGCTTTGATGTTTTTAGAAAGCAGAAGCTTAAAACACATACTGCTATTCTATCAGCATGAGTTTTACATGAGGCCTCTGTTTGGATAGCACAAAACTCTCTTTTTCATAATAGGTTAACTTTATACATTTTGCTTAGTTAACTTAGTATTCTCAGTTAATAACTTTAGTGACCCCTCGAGACACTCAGGAAATCTGTGTGAACGGTTGAAAATTCTGATAATCTGTTTAGAAGATTAACTCTCCATGGTCCTTTTTTTGTTTGATTGTTTTAAAATGCAGGATTAAAAGTTTCATTTATACTTTAAAAGTTTATTCCTAAATAAACTTCTATGAGCACTATAGTGAATTCATTAGTAAGATGGAACAAATCCAAAAAAACAAGTAATGATGGGATTGAGTGGCTTCTATAGAATCCATATGTCCAAACTTTAGTGAAGACACTGCCTCAACAGATAGTACACATGATCAGAAGAGGAAAAATCTAAAGTGACTTTGAGATTAAAAAAAGCAAAATTCTAGACGACTAGTTTAGTTTTGAGGAGTTTCCACAAGAAGCAGATTCCAAAACTATTATTGTTGCTTCAATATCTGAGTGCATGTCTCAAACTTCAGAGCAAAAAGTATACTTTTAAAATACCAAAACAAGAGAACAGCAGTGGCTGCAGTAACAAATGCTCTTAAAAACAAAACAAGATTACCTGGAGACTTCCAGGACATTAGTGACACAAAGGGTTACACAATGAGCATTCTGAATGCATCAGTTGTCACTACACTGGTAGTCAGAAAAGTCTAATTGCTTAATAAAAAACCCACAAAGCAGCACCTTGGCTTTTTAATTACATTGCATTGCAGTAAAGTAGTAATTATAAGGTAACATTTATGTGATTTTAAAAATGAAAGCTCACGTTTCTATAGGTTTAATCATTCTTACCATTAGATTTGATAGAGTAGCATCAGGGAGATGGTATGCAAACATTTCTATCTGCTCAGCAGTAGGATGCAGGCCAGCTGTCTAAGGAAAAAGAACAAATGAACATTGCTTTTTAACAAAAAGAAAGTTATTTTAAAAGGTTATCTCAAAAGCAAAATCCAGCAGAACAGCATGCAAGAAATCACTGTACCCCATGGAATCCACCACAGAGCACCACCATCCTGAACTTTTAAGAACCAAAATGAAAACAAAGCTCAAGAAGAGAGAGTCTAGAAGAGCAGCTGCAGTACGTGAGTGAGACACTTCACGAGTTTTATGGAACCTGCAAATGCCCCAGGCATTCAGAATGACGGCACTGTACAATTCAATTTTCTTACTCAGATTCAACAGTGTACAGTGAAGAAGAATACTGGATCACAATATACCAAGGCAGTTCCAGAACACTTTTGGTGAGAGCAGAACATTTAAGACTCTTACCTCTATGGGAGGCACAGACCTATTCAAAATTTCTTTCAGCAATACAAGGTCATCACGATGCATTGTAGTGACTTCCCCTTCCTTGAACACAGAGCTAAATCTTCCAGCTCTGCCTGAAATTTGTAGAGCCTGAGAGGTTGTAATTGCATCCATTTCCTTCTCTCCCTTTTCATTGATACTTGGCTTTATTAGAGAATTAAAAATGATTCTCTTTATACTCCTGAAACAGTTAAACAAAAACAGACAAATATCACTGACTACTTTCTCTTGCAGAGAAAAGGTGGGTGAGGTAATATCTTTTATTGGACCAACTTCTGTGGGTGAGAGAGTTGGTCCACCTCACCCACCTTGTGTCTCTAATATCCTGGTACCAACACAGCTACAACTACACTGCATACTTTCTCTTCAGTCATGTAAGTTATTTCCATAGAGCTAATTACTGCAGAGGAAGGAGTTCCTTTTTCCTATCAAGGTCCCTTCTCTTCACAAAGCAGGAGGTCTTCAGACTGTAGATGTTATTCTAATATGAATTTACTGTTCAAAGTTGCCAGACTGAAGGCCTTGGAAACAGAAGGCCTTTCTTTAGCCATGGAACAGACACACCATGGGCAGCAGCAGTGCAAGTTTCCCACACCACGAGGCCAACACCTATCAGTCCTGTTTAAGAAGGAATACTTAGCCCTGGTCTACATTGGGGTGGGGGATAAGAGAAGGAATCGATCTAAGTTATGCAACTTCGTACTTAGATCGACTTACCGTGGTGTCTTCACCACCGTGAGTCAACTGCTGCCGCTCCCCCGTCGACTCTGCTTGCGCCTCTTGTGGCGCTGGAGTACAGGAGTTGACGGGAGAGTGCTCGGGGGTCGATTTATCGCATCTAGACTAGACGTGATAAATCGATCCCTGCTGGATTGATCGCTACCTGCCGATCCAGTGGGTAGTGAAGACATACCCCCAGAGTAATTAGATATCCACTGATTCAGTCGTTGGCAGTCTCAGCAAAGTCCAGTGGTGACCACATCACAAAAAAATATGGCAACATCTGGGACCTGACTAAGACCACTAAGATTTCTGAAATGCACACCTCTAGTTTTCACATCAGAGAACAAGAACCTGATCCTGTGTGGAGCTGAGCATTCTCAAATGCCACTGAATTGAAAGGGAATTGAAGATGCTCAGTGCCACACAGGATGCAGTCTAAATGAGCAGTTTAACTGTTGTGATCATTTTCAGTATCTAGAAAGTATAGCTCAACCCAGTCAGATCAACCACCACTTAATTCTAGTGAGAACACATGTACACACATACTGGGTACTGTACATAAAGCGTTTTTATCCACATTAAGCAAACTGTCAAAGACTAAGGAAAACCAGCACACTTGTCTCATTGAAAAATAAGTCTTAACCTGTTCAGAGTACTTACAAATTAAGCCCCATTCCAATTGCATCTGTAGCAACTAGAATTTTACATGGATCATCAGGGTCATTGAATTTCTTTGCCTGGGTAAGCTTTGTCCCTAGAACAGAATCAATCACAAGTACATTTTATGTAACAGACTTTCCACACAAAAAGAGGTTATACAAAAAGATTGCGTGCTCTTACATGTCACTGAACAAAAGCATAACAAGTTGAAGAAACATGAATGTTAATTTTTGCAAGTTTTCCCAGAAAAATGGATGGGTGTCATTTTAAATAAATCAAAATAAAATAAAAGTTATTGTTGGAAGAACAAAATTAATATTACACAGCTGATGAAGATCTAATTCCAAGATTATAAAACAAGACAAAGAAAATGTGCTCAGTATTGTCTTAATTCAATATCTAGATATAGAGCTTGAAAAATGTAAAATCTCTTTATTAAATACTTTTCATATGGTAGCAACAATAAACAGAGCCTTCTCTTTAAAAGGAAGATAAAGCTAGTATCTTACCAGGTGGGAGACTGCCATATATGACAGCACATTCTATTCCTCGGGCTTCAATCTGCCGACTCACAGAATAAATATCGTTCTTACTGAAACAGACAATGCAGTCACCAGGACGGAGGTTATCTAAAGACTCTAATGCATAATCCAGCACGGTAATAGGGGTAAGCCTCTTGTAGTTTCTGACCTAGGATCAAACAACAGTTTTGTCAAGGCAAAACACAAAAATCCTTTGCAAAATTTATAATTACTATGAAACTTTAACTTCATATGAAGAATCAATCATAGCTTTAAGATTATGCTGTGCCTTAGAGAAGTACTAAGAGAAAAGGTGGCATCCCCTTCTGCCTTCCAAACAGTAATGAACATTCTCATGAGCATTTCCAAACTGGGAACTTAAAGACCTTTTCAGGAGACAGAAAAGAAGCCACTTTTATTTTTAAATTAGATTCCACTGCAAACATATACAATGTAAGTAAAACTGTATTAAAACTAGGGAGAAAAAAATGTGCTCTCCAATATGGAAGTCCTGCAGGCAGAATGCTTTCAGGATCAGGACCTATGTTTGTAAAATGTCCCTTGCAAATGAGCACATGGAGGTAGCTAGCCGGAGTTAGTCTGTTTTTCTTTTTTAATTTTTATAGCTTTTTTCCTTGGCATGTGTTAACCCTTTTAGCATTTTATACTCTTCTACCGATTTTTGATTTCTTAAGAACAAGTAACTAAAAATAAAGTGACCTGAGCAAAAGGTGGGCATTGTGACCTCTAGGAAAAATGGATGTAAAGGAAGCCTCAGCATAGATCTAGCACTCTCTCTGGGTAAGTCAGTAGAAATTGTAAGATCCATTGTTCTCTTGGTAAGGGCAATAATATTTTTGCCAATAAAGGTTAATTTTGCAACATCTCTAAGAAACCTCCTTTTGATTCAGGAGACTTACATAGCCAACATATCAAACACAAGCTCGGACTCCTGTAGATTTGATCAGTATTTTCTCAAATGAGGGATATAGTAGACACCTGCAATATTTTAGCTAGTTTAGTAGACAGTAAAGTGTATACAACTTTATAGCCACTGGACAGGGGAGAAAAAAGGGGACAGTATAAGATCTACCTCCACTTCCTCTCCTGTAGAATACATTAGCTCTGTCACCAAGTCAATAGCAGCAGCTTCTCCACAAATGTGAACTTCTTCTGCACTGAGTCCTGAAAAAAAAAATGCAGCGAAATAAAGCGTTAAAACATAAGTGTTCACACAAATCAGCAATATTGAGAGCCGACAGAGATGGTTACAAAAAAAAATAAAAAAAATCCTGTCTACTGAAGATGGCAATAAAGGATGAGATTTCTTTCCTTGTTTATTTTTTCTTCCTACATATCCATAGTCACTGTAACTTTTGCTTGTGCATTTATCTAAACCACCACTATATACACTGCTAAGTTTTAATGGAGCAATTCTTGACCTTACCAACTATTATCCAATGTCAAATCATCCATTTGATAACTATCTTAAAAGTTAATATTCTGCTGACACCCTCTTGGTGCCTTGCTATCATCTTCATATTTGCCCAACATGGGAACACATGCCTAAGGTTTCACTGCTTCACTTGTAAAAGGAAAAATGAAACTAACTCTTCTACTCAAACTTCCCAAAATTTTCTCAAATATGGAAAAGTTACAGTTTCCTTTTTCCACTCTAACTTTTCAAAAGTCACAGAGTGGGGAAAGAGGTAAAATTAGGGGAGGGTGAGAGAATGTTGTTTTTTTATCATTCTGCTAAATTCAGTGGTAAAAGAAAGGGGAGAGAAAACCCCAAAAATGTGAGATTTCCAGTCTTTGAAGACAAAAAAAAAAATTTCAAAAGTTCCCCCTGAAAAAAACCATAAAATTGAAAACATGTGCCTGCAAGAAATTTGGTTCATACTTAAACCCATGGGGGGGGGGGGGGGGGGGGAATCAGCCAAGTCTAAAATTTAAAAGATTACAGAAATGTTTATTATTGGCCAAGCTAGCACACATTTAACACTAAGTTTTAAATTAAAATTCTGCTGGATTACCTATAATTACAATTTTTCAATTTACAAAAGTGTAGGTTATACGATAAAATGAGGCTTCTCTACTAATCAAGCAGGTAAACAAACAACAAATGCATTCAACATAATTAGAAGTAAGTTTAACACACTTGGAGCTAGTTTATTAAATGTAAAATGGCTCAGCTTCAACATTGATGGGCATACCTAAAAGTGCTCTGGTCCAGGCCCATCCTCTAGCCGGATCTTTGATCATCTGAATTTCATCAATGACAGCCACTTCATCTTAAAAACAAGAAAATTATGATGTTAGGTGACGAGCACCTAGATGGCACGACTACATATGAAGGAACATCTCCAAGAAGCACAATACAAAATTGAAGTTATTTCCTACAAGAATTATTCAATTCAGTCTCTTCTGCATTCCAAGACTGCTCTGAGAGTATCCAGATTTAATAACTCTCAGATGACAGTGCTATAGCAGAGGTCAGAAATTGCTAAGTTAAAAATAAGAATACATACAGCACTTGCAAGACTAGAATGAATTGCTTAAGTTTAACCTCTTACAGGGTGTAGGATAAATATGAAATTAAAGAATTAGAGTTAACTTACATTTGGTTAAGGAAATATATGTGCATTGTAAAGAAAGACCCTGCCTAGCAAGTAGAAGGAAGGCCTTGAAAATAATAAGTGGTAAGGCCAGAAGGAATAAAATAGGGAAGATGTCTGGTTCAAAGAATAACTAATGAGATAACAGGACGTTTCTAAAAAGAATGCCTCTGACCAACAGGGGTGACTGCAGATGGTTTTAAATAAAACACAGACAATCTGTCTTAAAATGAGCCAACACGACCCTTCCCCAACCCACAAACTAGTGTTAAAGCCTGTGTGAACTCAGGTGCAATGGGAAAACTGTTGGGACAGCAAGAAGGAGGGGAGGAAATGCCTTGAGAAGAAAGGAGGTTGTAAATCTTATCTGGATTAAGACTGGAAATAAGGGTGAATTGTCTCAAATTGTTTTTTAGCTGAAGTCAGTAATTGGCAATGACATCACCTGCTTGTTAAAGGATATAAAAGATAAACTCTTAAAGGGTTCATTGCTAATACCTGCCTGACCACACTGGAGGCGACCTATATGGGTCTAAGCACCCCTGGGTTTAACAGCCCACTTGTAAGTATCTTGATCAAATTCTTATAAATGTTTTGTTACTTTTTGGATGTAGTATATTGGCTAAAAAGCCTAACTAATAAGCACATTTAGAGCAATTGTATAAGTTTGGCCTTTGGATTTAATAAAGAAATTTATGATTAAATTAGTGTTTGGAAGTTTTCCATATTAATAATTTCAAATATTATTACTAATTTCAACACAGAGGTGTAAGCATCATTGCATATAAAGAAACCCATGCATATGAAGAAAATAACCATGTATACATACAAGGCGTAGTAACACTGCACATCTCAATAGTGCAAGCAACATGGGTTGCTTGTTTGCCTTCTGGATCAACAAGAACACGCTCTTCTCCTGTTACCAAGTCACATGGCACACTCTAAAAGAATTAAGGAAGTAGAAGTTAAATTACTATCTTAAAAATAGAATTAGAATATTTTCCAAAGGGAAAAAAAAATTGAGAAATTGTGACAGAATATGCCCCTGTATTCACATCCTACAAAGTAATGTAATAATCTTTGCACAGAGCATATCTTGTACGATAGTATTTGAAAACTTCAGTTTGGGCAACAGGTCTGTCCTAGACAAAGGAATGTATGTTCTGCTTAATTTACATTTAAGCAGTAAACAGAGTCATCAAGCATAAACAGAAACAAAGAAAGCTCAAACAGGTGAGAAAAAGCCAGCAGGGAACATCCTTTCACATAGATTCTTTGTCTCCTAGTGCCCAGCTGGAAATGTTTTTAAAGAGAGGGACTGAAACTGTAAAAATAAGGAACAAACACCCCAAAGCACCACCCCCTCTCTCCCTGCCCATCGCATTCACAGCAACTCACTCAACAAAGGAAGCATTCCTTGGACACTGGGGCGGGGTCCTGACCTACAGGGTTTGGTCAGTAACACTGCTGAAAGCATGTGGTGAGATACTTTGCTTCAATCTGATATAGTTTAAGTCAAGTCAGGTAAGAGTAAATATCTTACCTTTATTTTTCTTGTAAAGACATTTCTGACTTTTCTGCCTCATTACTTGTACTCACTTAAAATCTCTTTGTAGTTAATAAACTTGTTTTACGGTTATCTAATCCAATGTGTTTAATTTAAAGTGTCTGAATAACTATTTGAGATAATAAGATGGCACACTGTTCTTTTTAAAGAATAACAGATTTAAAATACTTTGTACTGTCCAGGAGAGGGCTGAGCAGTATTGGACATACATTTCTGGGGGGAAATCTGGGATTGGAGGCGTGTTGGGGTCACCATGCGTATAACCAAGGCTGGTGAAAGCCAGAGTGTAACCCAAGTGTGGCTGGCTGCACTTACACAGTGACATGCAGTGTGGTTTGCATGATGGAAGGCTGTGAACGGCCCAGGTGGGAGCTACTTTTGCAAGGCTTTATAAGTTAACAAAGGTTGCCAAGCAGGGGTGACACAGCTGCTCATATCTGGATTGTTTGCTGGTATGTCACAGAAATAAACCCAAGTAGATAATGTTTTCACCCCTCAGCTCATACTACATGCCTACATACATGGTCGGATGGAGCCCAATTTTGTTGACCTTCTAGACATGGAGGGGAGGAAGTTGAGGATACAATTTCCCTCTGATGCGTGGTTTAAATTGTACTGATCATTGTCTATTGATTAAATGAGATGTGGTAGGACAAGGAAGGGGTGTAAAGTGTCTTTTAGCTCAATTTTGTTGCAGTTCCTATGGTGCTGTGTTTTTAAAAGTCAATCAAAGTGACCGAAACTTTGGATGGATGCCTTTTGGTATAGTTTCCTCTAAAACAAAATCTAAATAAAATAAGTTATCTTAACAACATCTTTCTCCCTCCTACCCATCCATGTGATCTAGTAGATTACCATCTCTGGTTTGATTTCTTTTAGAGCGGGGATAGATTTATCCTTGAGAAATCCCTGCCAAAAGTAGTTTACAGAAGACAGACAATGGAGTACAGTAAATATTTTGTTCTAATATGTTCAATTACATTCTAATATGCTTAATGCAGCATTTACAGACTATTAATTTCTGTAATCAGAAGCTCTCCCCTCCCCTGCCATTCCCCAGTTCCTGCAATGTAGTATCATTATGCTTTAACTTTGTATTTCTCCAGCCCCACGAGGTTTATGCTTTAATCATATTAGCAACAACATACAATACACTGAGCACAAAGAATCCTCAATAGATTAGGAAACTTTTTCATGACAACTCCACTAACAAGGGGTGCACATGCATACACACACTATATATATTGTTTCAAATTACTTATTCAAAGGCAGATGTTTGATCCTAGGGATTAGAATTTTGTATTAATGTAAAACATGTTAGAAATTAAAATGATAAGAATTACAAAATCACTATTGTTAAAGAATTAACTGAAACTCAGCATGTTTTACTGACAGATTATTACTACAGATTTATATGCAATTACTATATAAATATTGGTGATTTTAATACTTAGTCTTTTAAATTAATGCTTTGTAATACCATTTCTATTTGCCTCCCTGCAAATTCTATGCAGCTGGAAACAGGCTAGAGAAAAAGACCTACAAAGATTTTGGAGGCAATCAGCAGAGCTAATGAAATCTTATTCAAGCCACCTAAAGCAACACCATTGCAATGCCCTTTAAATCAAAGCATTTGCTGCAAGTGGGTAAAACATTTTATTCAATGCCCACTAGTACTAATATAAACATTAAAACAGGAAGAGAGAAGTTAGTATACGCCAGGGTAGCTATTTTGAATAGAAATGAAACTAGCTTATCAAGTTGCTGTATAACAGGAATAAATAATTCTATATTATATATTGACTAGAGAGCAATGCCCTCCCCCCCATCGACGTTCTGAGATGCATAAACCTCCACACCAAAAAGAAAGGAAATTCTATAGACATGGTGTCCCCTGACAAAAGTACTTCCTTGCAAATACATGCAACAAGCTCCTGGGAGTGGTCCACCAATCTGGAGGGCTTTTAGCAGAGAGATGGACATCATGTGGCAGCTGGAAGGCAAGAAATGAACTTGCTACTACTTATGGTTTTCATGGTTTAAAAACACTTCTCCAATTAAATCTAGCACTGCTTTACATAGTGACCCAATAAAGTGATTTATATAAAAATCAACTTTTCTTTCATGTTTCTATTTCTGTAATTTGCTAATGAAAATTTGTATTTTATTTAACGTAACCTGAATTAGGTGTTTTTTTCTGATATGTCCCCAGACAGTCCTACAAGAAAGCTAGCAAGAGCCAATGTAAGCACAGGGGTGAGCCAGTGACTGAAGGGCAATAGACTGCTACATGCATGAATGTATGGAGTTCTTTGGACACTGTTTCATCTCTTTCTGTGAACCACTAGTATTAATGAACACTGACGGTATCATAATTCAAAACTACATTTTAGCAGAGACTATTTCAAAGACTATCCTAAAGACTTACATTTATTAAAACAAAATATTTTGTATAATGACATGAATGCATGTAAAGTTGAAGAGAAATTGTTTAAGTAACACACTGACAGCATTATTACTCTTTTGGAAGATCTCATGGGCCAGCAGTTTTAATGGACCACAGTATATTCCTGATTTTGCTGCCAAGTATCTTTGGATAGCATGATGAGTTTTTCCACTATTTGTAGGGCCAGCATGAAAGACTATCTTTCTTTGAATAGCCCTGGCTTCTGGATACCTAAAACACAAAACAAAGACAAAAATAATTATAATCTATCATCCAGATACAGAGTTGGGTGAAATCCCAAGTGAATTTGTGCTAGTTGCCCGTTTATTTTAAATTGTCATTTAATAAAACAAAAGACTGGGAGGAGATAGTTCTTAAACTCAATCAAGTACAAAGAGGTTTCAATATAATCCTCAAATATTAGTAGATCTCTTGACCATTTCACATTTCAGAAAGTTTAAAGTTGAATATGTGAATACCATTGTCAACAAATAATATTCTTACTAGTATTGTCTTACTACTGCATTCTTTTTTATTTACTTTTTAGATTTTGACTTAATATCTATTGATTAGGATGTGAGTAAAAGACAGCTTTGTATAGAGGTAGTTTCTATCAACAAGCTAAAATTATTTAACAGGGGAGGAGAAAGAAAGCATGTCAGATAATGGAACAACGATCTCATAGCTGAAGCCCTCTCATTTTAATTTTAATTCTTTGGCAAAGAACACTGATAGTAACAGACATCACATCAAAGAAGTCTGACTCCTGGCACAAAAGGATTGTAAAAGTGGTCTGACAGCCATTGTTGAACTTTTATGTCATGAAGCCCAGGTCCAAAGCATCCACAAAACTGGTTTTTCTTAGAAACAATTCTTGCCCATACCTGACTCTCCAGCAAATGTGTCATTTCATTAATCACCCGGATAATGGAGAGTGTGTGCGTATAAAACTTGCGGATGACACCAAGCTTGAAGGGGTTGCAAGCACTTTGGAGAATGGGATTAGAATTCAAAACAAACTTAACAAATTAGAGAACTGGTCTGAATTCAACAAGAGGAAATTCAATAAAGACAAGGGCAAAGTACTTCACTTAGGAAGGAAAATCAAATGCACAACTATAACGTAGGGAATGACTGGCTAGGTGGTCGTACTGCTGAAAAGGATCTGGGAGTTATAGCAGATCACGAATTGAATAAAAGTAAAAAATGCAGTGCAGCTGCAAGAAAGGCTAATATCATTCCAAGGTGTATTAACAGGAGTGTTGTATATAAGACACAGGAGGTAATTGTCCACTCTACTTGGCACTGCTGCCCAATTTTGAGCACCACACTTTAGGAAAGATGTGGACAAATTGGGGAGAGTCAAGAGGAGAGCAAAAAAATGAGAAAAGGTTTGGAAAACTGGATATATGAGGAAACGCTTAAAAACCGGGCCCGGGGGGAACAGTTTCAAATGTGTTCAGGGCTGCTTTAAAGAGGATAGTGACCAATTGCTCTCCATACCCACTGAAGACAGGAGGAGAAGTAATGTGGTTAAGCTGCAGCAAGAAGATTTAGGTTAGGTATTAGTAAAAAATTTCTAATTATAAAGGGTAGTTAAGCTCAGGAACAGTCTTCCAAGGAAGGTTGTGGAATCCCTATGATTGGAAGTTTCTAAGAAAAGGTTCAAACAAACACCTGTCAGGGACAGTCTAGGCTTATTTGATCCTGCCACAGTGCAGGAGGCTGCACTTGAGTTTTCAAGGTCCCTTTGGGCCTTATACTTGTATGATTCTATGTTACTATGACCCTTGATTTCAAGGTTCTCCATGTTTTTCTGAAATCATTACCCACCAAAGAATGGACTACCACAGACATGAGACTGAGCTCCATTTTAGGATTAGATATTATATAGCAAAGCTTTAACTACTAAACCGTACTGGATTAATCAAAACCTGTTACTCTTAGCTATACATTATTTCCAATTTGTCTTGATACTAGTAGCCAGGTATGCACAGTATCAATTCTGATAACTGGCTATAACAACATCTTCCAGACAATGAAATTAGTATAGTCTTTAGCATGAAAACTGCTGTCACTGACAGCAATAATATGAAAGTCTGACACTTAAATAAACTAACCAGTTGGGTGGCAATCTTAAGTCGCTGATCTTGCGCAGATCATCCATACAGTCCAGCATAGGAAAGATCTGCTTAGCATGTCTCAGAAAAAATGGGAAGAGATCATCAACGTGACCTAGAAGACAAACACTTTTAAGAAAGTTTGCTACTATTAACAAGTCATGGGTTCATGAGATGGGTTTTTTGAAAAAAGTAAAAGTAATATTATAATATAGACTCATTAAGCCTATAATGCAATACAATCTAGTATCCAAAAAAAAAAAAAAAAAAAACCCCAAGAAAAAAAAATCTAACTTCAATACAGTGACTGGCTATTCCATAGCATCTTACTGAACTTTGTTACAGAAGATTTCCAGAATAGGCAGATTTTTAGGATTATTTGTTTAGGATAAACCAAATAAAAATTTATTTTTGATACTCTTCAATTAGTGTGGTATGACTTCCATAACTGAGTATTTTGTACTAAAATTAAGATGAGTTTGAAACTTTCTCATATATGGTTTGCTACAGGGTGAAGCTCATTCCTCAACTTGCTTTGACAAATATTTTATGTGCCACCATATACTATTTTAGAAGCTTATGAGAATTTTAAAAGGATGCTAGCAAATACTTTGGGTCCATAATTTAAAGTACAGTAGGTTAAATTATATTTCAAGTATAGAGAACTTTTGTCACGTTTAACACTTTAGAATTGCCACCATTTAAAAATAAAGCAACGCTACTGTTTTTGCAGAACATATACTAAAGAAGAGCTGTGTGCATTTCTGTGCTGTTTCTATAGCCATCAATTAGCATCTCCTCTTCATAGGCACAGGCATTATTAATTATGTTACAGAATGTAAGTACCAGAACATGTATACCAGTGTCAGTACTGACCAAAAAAAAACCACACGAAAGAAACAAAGCAAAGGATCAAAAGTATACATACTCTCCAGCTTCTAAAAAACTCAAGAGAAAGTAAGCAATATTAAAACTAGTAATCCATCAGAATATTCTCAAACAGTCCCTTAAAGATCATAGAAGTTGTAAAGCCATAACAGAAAAATATATGGAATGGAAAAAGTGAACATGTCAAGTCTTTTTCTTAAAAATTTGTAACTTGCAAGAAATAGATACTTTTGTGGAAGGGATGCATCTTCATGGTGGTCTGGAGAGCAATAAGTGCTAAAGGGCCAGATCCCACAAAGTGAAGTACATCTCCACTCCTTCCATTCCCACTTCAGTGGGCTTCAAGGAAATCGAGCACCTCATAGATTCAGACCCAGTTTTCTTTATCTTTATACAAGCCAGAGCAGGAAGTAAAAATATTCACGAACTAAGTTTTATTTTAAAAGATGTTCTATATACTTGCCTGCACCACAACATATATCATTTAGAATAATGTGTACATCAGCATTCAGGAAACTGGACTCCATAATATACTTTCTAAAGCTTATAAATGCTTGGTGAAAAAGACGAGCTGTGGAAAGGGAGAAAAAAAAATTTCACTGTTACATACAAAGTTTCACTTTGAAATACCCAACAGACCATGCAAAATGTCAATTTAAATCAAGCTACTTAACTAGAAATAATATATTTTTCATAATATATTTCTCAGATCTTTTGTACACAAACATTCAGATTAAAAAAGAAAAGCAAGCTGCAGGGTTTGCCTGTAACAGTTTTGCTAAAAACAGCTAAAAAATAAGGCAAAACCCAAGATGACATATTTGTTTGATGTAGAATGTGTGTGAGTTATTCTACTAGAAAGGAAAAAACATCCAGATAATAACTTCATTTTAAAATATGGTTGGTGCCACAAATTACATCTTTCTTACCATCCAGTCCATTTTCTCCTCCCAGTCTCTGCATTTCTTTCCGCTTGTAAAACTTATTTAAGATTTTCAGGACTTCACCTGTAAGATAAAAATTTAGAATTTCTTAACTTAATTGACATGTCAGATTAACCTTTGTTCAAATAGAATTAAAAAAGACTGCAATTATTTTCTTCAACTCAGTCTAAGGCCCAGATTTTAAAACGTATTTAGGCATTGCCTAACTTGACTTAGCAGCCTAGATCTCACTGAAAGTCAGTGGTACTTGAGCTGCTAAGTCATTTTTGAAAGCTGTCTATTTAGGCCTTGCCACACTGAGCAGAACACCTTAAAAAATGTGGGTCTAAATGTTTGTAAAAAAATGAGTGCTTGTCATCATGAACACACTCTTACGTTCGTTAAGTTTAATTACAACTGACATTGAGCCTAGTACTGGGGATGACAGTCATCTCAAGTGATTCCAGAGGAATTTCCATACTGAATCAGACCAGTGACCCATTTAGCCCAGTATCCGGTCTCTGACAGAAGCCCATCTCAGATATTTTATAGGAAGGTGCAAGAAAACCTGTAGTGCACAGTTACTACTCTTGTTAGTTAATGGTAGGCTGTGACCCAAAGCATAATGGTTTACATCCCACACACACATTATATCATTATATATATATCAGGGTCAGTGGGGGCGCAGTTGGTAGTTGCATTGGGCGTCCTGTTAAAATTTTATGAGGGCCGAGTTTAGTTTTTTGATTGGGAGTGGCCCTTATACTTATTAGTGCCAGAGGAAGAGAATTTGGCTACTTTAAGTTTGTTTTAGCATAAATTTTGGCCAGTTTATTTTTTAGAATTTTATTTTGGCGTTTTACTGCCCCGGCAGACTGCGGATGGTGGGGGCAGTGAAGGTTGTGTTGGATTTGCAAAGCTGCACATAACTTTTTTACAATTTGTTCAGTAAAATGAGTTTTACGGTTACTGTTGATACTTACAGGGATGCCAAATTGTGGTACAAAATTTTTAAGCAGAAGTTTTCTAACAGTTTTGGCATTTGCTTTTTTGCAGGGAAAAGCTTTAACTTAATTTGAAAATACATTTACTAAAACTTATCTTATTTATTTTGTTAATGGTTCGTGCTTGTCGGAGAATAACAGAGTTCTCACTTTTTGTTTGGGTACAGCAAGTCAGATACTTTATTTTCTCTCACAATTGCGCAGAGGGAGAGAGCTAAGCAGGTCTCTCTACAGGTAAACAATTACAGCAAACCTTTATACCTTTCATTACAGACAATAATAAGCAACAGCTGCATTTTGTTTATACATAGGCCATCTTGATATCTTATTTTTCTCACTTGTTTTGACTCTAGTCTACATACAATATTTTCTACACATTATCTACACAAGGTCGCAACAACTTCTCACACAGTTCTTTCCCACTCGCCTCACACAATCCTCGCTTCTACAAATCTCGCGTTATTAGGGTTACAGTTAGCCTGACTCTTGCTAACGAACTGTCATGCATTGCAGTTCCTTCCTGTCAGTTCCTTCTCTGCTTCCACAACCCCCCCTTTTGTACTACTAGTACAACAAACATTTTCAAATCTCTATTTGCATTAAGTCTTGGAATTCAGATTTTCTACATCAGGCGCTTCAACCATGACCACTTAGTTTCCTATTAATCTGGAGATTTTGTCAAAGGCTTGTTCAAATCACTTATTACTTCTTTGACCACAATCCGTGACACTAATGTTATGTTAGACCAATCAAAGAGAATATGCCAGTTTCCAAACTGCTTAATAATTTTTTTAATATATAATAATGAAATATATTTAAGACAGGGCTGGAACCCCCCCTGCAGCTGATAGTGGCCAGAAGACAGAAAATTCTACAAATTTCACACGAAAAAGTTTCCTGGAAAATTCTCCTCAAGATGACTGCACCAAGAATCAAAGAGGAACCAGGGGGATGAAGGCTCCCAACCCCACATGTTCATAGGGAAGACAGCGCCTAGATCAGAAGAGATATGCTGCATGGAGCTGTGTGTTATTGCTCTGACCATCCTCCCCATCAGGCAGTACGGCTCCTATAGGAGTTGTGGTACTATTACCAGATTTCCCCTTCAGTTGCTCAGTAGCACATACATCATGTCAAGTGACAAGCACCTACATCATGTTATCCTTCCACTCTGCCCATCAGATTATTTTGAGCAAGTAGAGTATTGATAGCATACAAGAAGTCCTTTAAAAAGGCAGAACTGTGCAGTCAGGATATGAACTACATAAGAATAGTGCACACATGCACAATAATGTTTATGCTTACAAACCTAAACAGAAATTATCGGACTAATTTTAGGCACCAGTCTTGACAGCTTCCCTTTAACTTAATAGAAAGGAAGACTAGAATATTAATTGCCTATATGGCAAATGGAGTGGTTTATGAAAACCTGACTACATATTTACTCAGGCAACAGTTTCTTCTCTATTGTTCTGCATTTCTCCCTTCTCTCTAATCATCCCTTTATAGTTTGCTAAACATGACTGCAAATACTTCAAGTAATGGAAGTCTAAACACAAATAATAATCAATGCATTCCCATCACTTCAATCCCCTAGCCTTAGTTTAAAAAAAAAAAGGGGGGGGGGACTCAAGAAGAGAATTCACAAATCAATATTTGAATTTGAGAGTTTAGGGGGAAAAGGGAAGAACAAGTTGTCTTAGGAAGATTAACACTTAGAACCAAGATACCAGCCAGAAAACTTTTCAGTGTATAAAATGACGAATACCAAATTCCAACCAGGTTAGACCCCATGCTATAGGATATAAACCTAAATAAATTTAAATGGAAATCTGGTTTTAATCTTAATTATAAAAGCCCTGACAGTCTACTATAATTTTAAAAGCATTACAAATTAAAACCTCATTTACCTTTAAAATAAAGGGTCACCACCTTTAAACATCTAAAAACAAAAACTATTCATCCATTTCAGAAGTATTCAAATAAAAATGGTCAGACCAATATATGTTAATATATCTAGAGTTGGAGCAGCCACTCCAACTTACCCAATATACTTGGCTATTGTAGCACATGGTACCATGCAAAAGATATATACGTTCCAAGAATACTGAAACATCAGAAAGCAAGCTAAGAACAGTGTAATAAACCTTAACTCTGAAAAGCAGATACAGGGTTACATTAGAATTGCATCTGCTTATGTCAGGTATGAATTTAGCACTTATTAAAAATTAAGAGCCATGGTGGCAAAAAAGGTGCACTTCCATCTGCAACTGAATAGAAGATTGCACACATTCTACTAGACATGCCTTGCCCATTATCCACACATTCATGATCTGTCCTTTAATTACTGCTACTCATATCTAATATTCCTAAAGCTCTGAAAACATGAAGAACTAAATATTATTGTAAAAGTTAACATGACTAATCAAGAGAAAAAGCTAAGCATTCTGAGCAGCTACCGGGTAAATTTTACTTTCAAGATCCCCCTTACAAGCTACGCGTCAACTGGGCCTCATTTCTGAACTCACAAAAAGAATAATATATTTTATGAAATAGCTGACCTGGCCACTAAGTACAACTGGTTTAGATCTGTACACATTCCCATCAGCCACGTTTTTGCCAGCCTTTCCATTTTTCTCCCCTTTGTTATTTTGTATCTCCTGGTGCCAACACTGACTGCAACAGTTGAATGCCTTAACTTGTACCCTGCAGCATCAGCGAGTACCAGCAGAACGGTGCAGGGGAGACTTTGAACAGAAAATGCAATACAGTGGCGCCAACCCCAAGCCCTGAGTGAACTAGAACAGCACTCAAATAACCTATGAATGCATGGTGAGAATATTCTATTCACTAGAGCTCTCTCTCTCTCAAAAAATAAAAATAAAAAATGAAACCCCTAAATTCCTCTTTGGACTTTCCAGAAGTAGCTTTGAGAAGAGTGTGGAGAGCAGGAAATACACTTAATGTTTGACATTAAGTGTGTCCATGAATCTAAATTCAGTTATAAAACTTAAAAGGTCAGTGTTATATATTATCCTAAGCAGTAAGGCATTGGGACTACAACATACCTCTTGACTTTAAGCACACTCTCTTCCTTTCTAAGGGTTTGTCTACATTATAGAGCCTTGGCCAATATAATGATGCCAGCAGAGCCAAAGAGTAGATGCAGCATAAGCCGCAAAATAAGTTTGTCTGCCTGCACAGTAACACCACCTCCCTGAGGTCGTTAGCTAAGCCAAAGAAGAACTCTATCACCATAGTCATATCTACCCTGGAGGTTTTACTGGCATAGCCATGTCAGCTAGGCAGTGTGATTTCTTTTTCCTCTCTCGCTCGCTCCTAGCTAATGCAGCTATGCTAGCAAACCTTTGTGCTGTAGACCTGGCCTAAACTATTCTACTTCCCCTAGGGTTACCATCCGTCCGGGTTTCCCCGGACATGTCCAGCTTTTTCAGTGTTAAATGGCCGTCCGGGGGGGATTTCTAATGAAGTAGAAATGTCCGGGATTTCCCCTCCTGCGGAGTGCGGCGCGGCTGATTGGACGCCTGGCCTGATTGAAAGCCGCTCGCAGCCACTAGGGCCTCTAGCAGCCAGAGTCCCTCCCCCTCCCCCGCTCCCTCCTCCCCCACAGAGCAGCCGGCAGTGTGTGATTCCACGTGGAGCCTGCATTTCTCCCTCTGCCGGGTGAGCGGGGGGGAGCAGAGGCTGCAGGGGGGG